CTGTTTTGACAAGATTTAAATACATTTCATATAAACAACAACTACAGGTTGCACACAATTTCATAAAGTAGCTGCATTTTCACTCAATTAAATGGCCATATGTGGACTACTCCATATGCAAAAGCCATCTATTTCCTACAGAGGAACAAGAACTTGGAGAAAGGCGCTCATTAGCTGAACACAAGATCAGTCTGGACAGTATAACTAAGAGTGAGCAGTGACTCATGGTTGCCAGTAGATATGAAATTGACTTGCTCATAAACTGTTCAAATATCCCTAACTCAATAGCCAGGGGCAGTACAAAGCCAAGCAAAAGAAAAGAATCCATCTGCATATGCATCACTTCGCTGAATTAAGAAGAAGAAATCCCAAGTCTTGTTTCACTTCAGATGTACAAGATAATCTGGAGAGGATTCTCTAACCTGTTACGCTAATTCCAAAGCTTAAGTAGTTAAACAGGAGCTGTTTGAGGTGTCAGGTTTTTTTTTTTTAAACATACAAGCAAGCATATGCAACACATTTACATTACATAAATGCATGATCAGTCGGTTAATCTTAGTGGAGGATCTGGGGGTCTGTGGTTTTCTTTAGCTTTTGCTTTATCTTAAACCAGTTTCTTTGATGGTCACCTCCTTCCACTCACTCAATTACACGAAAATCCTGGCTACTTCCTCCACACTCAGAGGTAGAAAAATAGAAGGAATATTAACAGCACTATACCATAATAGCATGGATTTAGTTACTTTATAACAGAGTAAATAACTTTAAATGACTTTCTGATTTCCAGTAGCTGTTACCACCCTTTCAGCACCAAGCACATCACTGTAACTGGTATGTATTGCATTACTGAAACAACCCGATCTTCCTTCTTCTGCAGAAAACAAACCTATGCAAGCACAGGGCAAAGTCCTTTACAGATGTACTATTGAGTTTCATAGCCTTGAACTAATTCCCTACTGCATAGCTACCATTACCCAGTCTGTGACACTGCACTAACTCACAAAGAATTTGCTACCTGCATTCATTTCATGGCAGTCCAAGAAGGCTTTCCTATCCCACACAGCCACGGTTCTTTCTCAGGGTTTCTGTCGAAGATAATATTTCAGCTCTTTTTGCCCTCCTACAACTTCATACATTAAAAAGCAACATATGTAGACATGTAATGATTCAAGCCTGGCCTCTTCCAATGGAGAATCTAGAGTGGCACTGCCTTCTCCAGAGATTACCTCATCCTCTGCAGTACATGGCAGGGGAGACAAGAGCTGTATGCTCTATCTGGTTTCTCAGAACTGCCCTCAAAACATCTTTAACAAAAATATCCCCTTGCCAGGTAGCAGTTGCTGCTGTGAAGGGTTATTACAAGCGAAGGCAGAGTGCTCACCACATCACTGTATCTTTTTCCACTAACAGTATGAGGCTGCAAACTACAAGCAACAATACTGAAGTTTCTCACACACAGTTCTATAGAAGAGGAGAAAGGGAAAAAAGCAGACAACAGCAGCACCTGTTTTATCTTCACTGCTGAAAACAGAGAAATTGGAGTGCCAGCAGAAAGGGTGAGATCAAGCCTGTTAGCGAGGCTGAATGTTCTTGGGATGTGCTTGAGAACATGTGCCATTATGTAGCAGTTGGAATTCAGACAGTACGGACTTCTGAGAAATAAAGGAAGAGCAGCATTTGCAATATCCATTCCCAAGAAAATAATAACTATAAAATTACAAACAGGATAAGATTTATACAACTGCTCTACTACACACACAAAGGGAAGTACAAGTGTAGCATGGAAGCAGTTTCAAATTTGCTCCAAAGTGTCTGGGATAAGAGGGGGGGGGGGGGGTGAAGGGGAACAGAAAGGAGACTAAACGAAAAAGCACGAGGGCACCAGCAAGGCCAAGTGTGAGAGCCTTTCACTGGCTGTAGGTACAGTGAGAAAGCAGCATTAAAACTGCTATTTCTGGAAACATAGCATATGAGAAAAGAGTTTGTGAAGAGTGCCTCAGGCTGCTACAAAGAAAATAGTAACTATTGGGCAACAGAGTTGTATTTCAAAGAAATGCTGGTAAACCTTTTGCACAGCCGTGCGTAGCCAGAGCTGCCAACAATCAGACTGTTTATAAACGGGATCCAAGCATAAATAATACAGTAAAGAAGCATGCATGCTATATTATGAGGGACAATTTAAGAAACTTTCCAGGTGAGTTTCCAAACACACACAACTGGCAAAACTAGTGACAGTTGGGCTTTTTTTCCAAATGAAAGCAAAATAAATAAATTAGTTTAACATCCCAAAAATCAAACACACATATTTCCAGAAAGCTTTGTAAGTTCAAACATTCAACTGAAGACGTTTGCTATGTATCTGCACGGTGCTTAGAACAGGATTATTCCAGCAGAATCAACTGATGAAAGAAAAAAAAAAAAAAAAAAAAAAAAAAAAAAGAAACTTTGCAACTTGGCAAACATTTAATCATTAATTGTGTTTATTTTCCTTGGTTTAGGAAAAGAACCTTGGCCTTTCACACACTGAAATAACACATAATGAGCCTCAAGTTTGGCACTTTGTAGAAGTGCTCCCACTGCTTCAACACTGAAGTCCTGACTGGCCACAGCCTGCCAATGCTGCCGATTTAGCTGCCTGTGATGTGCAAACTGGAAAATAGTACAAATGATGAATAGCTCACCCAAAAGTACTTGAGATAGGACTGACAGGCCCTGTTTGTGATCTCACCCCCACAAACCATCTGAAAAGAGCTTAACAAATCCAACAGCAGCAAAGATTACAACAAATATTTCCTTTATTTTTCAATTAGAGTTATCTTTCACACGATAAAGAAAACCATGGCTTTCCACATACATTTTTAAACAATATTACAATTCCAATTTATCAGAGAGAAAGACGCAACATAAACATTTATGATGGTCATGTGCTTCTACTTCTATAAACTTCACAAATTAAAGATTTCCAATGGTGACTGAATTTTACTTATGCAAGGGAATCACACTTGGAGGAACACAGAGGTTCCCTCTCTTTCTTCCTCCAGAAACACACCACGTTCACATCACAGGTAAGATGCTTAAAAATGTTGAACAGAAATTCAGCCTCGTGCCAACTGTTTGGTACAGAAGCAGCAGTTTCCCATTTGTGAATAAACTGAACAAAACTCTGAAAGTCTGACCAAAAACTATTATACCTGCTGATAAAATTGCAGAATCATTCTATTTGTTATCAGATCTGAATTCATTCCCCTTTCCTAGCCATAGGCTAATCCTCACAATTTCCAGGATGACAGCTCATCATCTGATGTATTCACACAAAGAACGAAAAGCACCCAGCACCCAAACCACATCACATGCCATAGCACTCCCAACACCAGGAGCCCACTGACACACAACCAAATCTGCTCCATTACCATCACACCCCAGCATCAGTTCACACACAGAGCCACTCTGAAGGGGGCCGGAAGAAAGATAGAAGTGCATTAGGCCAGCTCGTTAGTTCAACACAGAGAAAATCTTTTTTCCATATTACAGGTCTGCAGTAATACCATCACTGACCAGTGATTTCTGCAATGAAACATGAACATTCACCAGTCTTAAAACATATATGCAAAATATGGAAAAAGGAGACGTTCTTTGTTGAAGAGCTTCTCGCTGTCTGAATACGCTCAAGTTAAACAACAGAACCTGAACTCAAAGCTGTTGCACCGCTCCTTTTCCCCTCCTTAGGCAGGTTTTAGAGAACCCCTGATAAGGAAATCTTCCCATCATACCTTCTGTAAAGTTTAAAATAGTCGTCCCTTCTCCTTATAAAATCAGCAAACAAAATCAGCAGAACACAATAATTAGATGGTTTTCCTAGAGCAGCATGAGCTGCATATTTTAATCCTCCAAATACTTAACTTACTCATACCTACTGCGTACCTATTGTGGAAGAAAAGGAAGTCTCTCCAGCAAAACTCTGTTCTCACTTTGCGTTATGCCAACCCTCCCAATGCCAGGAGCTGGATTTCCCTAATATCACTATGCCAGTAATGGAGGAACCAAAGCCGCTGGCTCCAACCAGCCTAAAGCAGGTGGATACAAAATACTTCTGTACCATGAGCACCAACATGTACTCAGAATTAAGTTCCCATTTCTCTCATTCTCCTCCTCAAAATTTTGTTTACAACTATTGTGATTATACTCTGATGATAATTACAACACATTTCAACTGAAAAATATGCAGAGCACAACCATCCTGTAACTTGAAGAGCTGAGAGATGCTGCTCGCAGAGCTCCAGCCTCACACAGCCAATTCCAGGTGGATGGGAGAGGAGTGCAGAGCCGCGAGGTCCCAGCGCGCTCAGCCAGCCCAGCTCAGCTCAGGAGCCGTGCCAGGAGCTCGGGGGGAAGCTTCTCGTGGTGCTCACAGCCCGCTCAGAGTTAGAACTCAAGTTCAGCGTTATAAGGGCGCTTTGATTCCTACGAAGTTGAAGTGTTCGCGGTCTAAGCGCGTTATAAAGCCAAACAACGTGGGACAGCACCCAGCAGAGCCTATCTGACAGTCCCGGCGCACCGGGCCTCCCACCCCGCGCTGAGCTCGGTGGGACAGAGCCGGCTGCGCGGGTACGTGCTTCACGCCTCGAGATCCGCCAGCACCGTGCATCGCGCACAAGTTCTGCGGCACCGATAACCAAGCGCGGCTGTCACCCTACAGGACTTTCCAGCAGAAACGGAAGAACGAATCTCACGCCGGAGTTCCCGAGCCCGACGTTTAACCTCAGCTCCCGAAGCCGCGGCCCGAGGCGGCGCCCCGGGGCAGCTCCCCGCCACCAGGACGGCGCCGTACCGCACACGGCCGCGTTCCGCTCGGCGCCGCGCGGTGCGGCCCCGGCGCAGGGGCACAGCGGCGAAGCGCCCCCCGCCCGCCGGGCCGGGCCCTCAGCGGGAAGCGGCCACCGGGGCTCCGCTCCGGCCCTCCCCGCCGCCCGGCCCAGGCCCGCCGCCGCTCGCTCACGCACCCAGCTTGCCGCGGGACTCCTCCAGCTTCTGGATCTGGTTCTCCAGAAAGAGCACGGCCACCCCGAACACCAGCACGGCCAGCAGCTGCAACTTGGGCGGCAGCATGATCCTGAGCAGCCCCATCGGCAGCCCCGGCGGCGCCGCCCGCCCGGGATCACGACATAACGCGGGGCCCGACCGGGCGGGCGGGCGGGAGCCGCGGCAGCCGCCGCTCCGACGGCGCGAGCGAGGGGAGGCGCGCGCAGGGCCCGCTCACATCGCCCCGGCCCGGCCCCGAGCGCCGCACGGCCGCCACTAACGCGCCCCTCCCCCGCCAGCGCGCGCGGCGCAGCAACCGAACGCCCGGCCGCGCGCCCGCCCCCCCGCCCGCCATCGGGCGGAGCCTCCTCCGCCCCGCCCCTCCCGCCTCCGGATTGGCCGCGCTCGACCGACGCCCCGCCCGCTCGCAGCGGACCCTCCCCCCTTCGCTCTCGTGTCGGGCACAGCCGCCGCCCCGCCCCCTTGCGGCCCTCCGCCGTGGGGCGGCGCTTCCCGAAGTCCCGCCCGCCCACCCGGCTCGCATTCAGCGCCCGCGCCGCGGCGCTCGGGAGAAGGGCACTGTCATTGCTCGGCGGGGCTGTCAATCGCCGGCGCTGGGGGCCTGCGTGCCTGTTGGCTGCGGGTCTCCGGAGCGGGGGAGGGTCCCGCCTCGGGACCGCTTTGTGAGTGCCGGACTGGGGCCGGGAAGAATCTCCTCCAATAGCCTGGCCGTAGAGCACAGTACTGAGCAGGCTAAAGTTGGCGTCGCTGCGGACTCCCCGCAGACGTCCCGCGCTGGCCGTTCTCGCTGGCCGCCTGCGATCCGGCCCGCCGCCCCGCCCCAGGCAGCGCAGGGCACCATAGCGCCCGAGGTCCCCTCTCGGCCCGCCCGCCGCGCTGCCGGCAGCTCGGTTTCAAGATGGCGGCGGCCGCCGAGTTGGCGGCCCTGGGGCGCTGCTGGCTGTGCCTGCTGCTGGGGCTGCCCGCGGTGAGCGGGGTCGGGGCTGAGCGCAGCGGCGCTTCCGTGCGAGGAGCGGGGATCGGGCCGGGCGGGAGGGAAATGCGTCCCGCGGAGGGAAGCGAAGCGGCCCTGCCCGGCCCCGGGGCTCCGCGCGGGGCTCCTGCGCTCCGCGGAAACAGAGGTTTGCGGGCTGCCCTGAGGTGCGTGCCCCAGGGCGGCGGGCGAGATCCCGGCAACCGACTGCGGGCGGCGAAAGCCGGAAGCGGGCCGAAAACCCGTTCCGAAGTTTTGTCACTGTTCGGTCCTTCCTGAGGCGGTTTGTAACGGTGCTGGCGATTGCTTTTGTGTGTTAAGTGTGTTAACGTGAACGCAAAGCGGTCGTGCGACGGGCGCGCGAGCAGCGCCGTGCGGGAGAACGCAGAGCTGAGGTGCGGCTCGGCTTGTGACGGGATGCGGCCTCGCGCGGGGCCGGCGGGTCTCGCCCAAACGTTAGCGCTTCTGTTAGTTAGCGTTATTATGGGGTAGCGCAATAATCGGGACACTAAAACTGGAGGAGAAATACCTAGAAGAGATGGTCTTATGTGAATGAGAAACGTGGTTCTGCTGTCACCGTCTGCTGGCCCAGAACAATGCGTTGATTGCTCTGCTGTCACCGCTGCAGTGTGCTGGTGTTCAGCTGGGGCTTCTCTGAACGCAGAGGTGCTGCAGGCCCTTTTATTGGAGTTTAATCTCTTACCTTTTGTTCTTTTTTTTGTTTGGTTGTTTTCTACTTTTTGATCAAGATCTTTTCACCCCATCTGAGAAGCACCTGGGGAAAGGATCTCCTTTTGTTGTGTCCTCCCTCGCTTTCCCCATGTGCACCTGGAAGGAAAGGCTGCAAGCTGTATAAGGGAGGGGCGGATCAGTCCTTCTGCAGGGCAGTGGGAAGGTGAAAGCAGAAAAGAACAAAGAACAGATGATATCGTTTCAGTGCAGGGATGGCAACACTGTGTTATCAGCTCACTAAAAGCAGAATAGGTGTTCTGCCCAGGAGCCAACTGAGCTGCTGATGTTAAGCAGCTGCAGGGCTTTTATCTACACTTGCACTAGCATGTGATTTTTCCAAAGCAAAAAAGAAATGAAATCACAATCCTTGCATACACTGTTCAGCAGTTTGATCCAATTCATCATTCCCAAGCTCAGGTGTAAGACTTATTTTCCAAGTCTGCTAGTATCAGGGTGTTTATTGGAACTGTCTCATGAGAGCTGCAGCTGATTCATTACAGCTGCTTTTTGTTGTGCTATCTTTGGAGCAGACACTAGAGAGACACTGGAGTGGTAGAAGCATATATGAAAGTAGCAGCTCTGATACCTTAAAACATACATGTTGTGAATGATGTCTAGAATTTACTATTAGCTTTAAGACTACTTCTCAAAATAATGTCGTGGTTTGCACTCATGAGCAGACAGTTAAGTGTTACAGTAAAATGTTCTCAAAATATGTAATTCTGATGGTCAAAGCATCTAAAAGCTTTCTTATTAAAACAACTGATTTAATACTAAAGTGTAATATTGTATTGATTTACAGATAAACGTATATGGAGCACAGCTGTCATCAGAAGCTTGCAGGGAACTTGGCTTCTCCAGTAATTTGCTCTGCAGCTCTTGCAACCTTCTTGGACAGTTCAATCTGAATCAGTTGGATCCATTCTGTAGGCAGTGCTGCCAAGAAGAAGCTCAGCTGGAAACCAGAAAGGTGGGTTTTAAACCAGATGAGTGGGAAGAAATCTGTCTTAATTTTTTTGTAATTTACTCATAAGTGTCACGTTGTGTCATAAACATTTTTGCACTAATAAATTTGGATCAAACAAGAACAGAATTTAAATCAATAGATATTTTTTTCTGATTATCCTGAATCAGGCCTAGATTTCACCTTGTAGGTGATTGCGCGTTTTGTGTAAGACTGAGCAGGTGCCATTTTGTGATTAGGGCTTTACATTAAAAATATATGCAGTCTTTTCCATTTTAGTCACGCTCAGCATAGAACAGCAAGCACAGAGCTGGAAGGAGTCTCAAGGTTGTTCGACATATTCCTTCGCTGTGAGCCAGAATTTATTGTATGTGCATAGGAACCTGGAGATTGTTTAATAGAAGTTTGTTTTTTTTCTCATCTGTTTGCATTAGGTTGCTTGGTTTCACTTTTTGCTAGAGTTTTGTAGCAAACATGAGTCATCTGCTGCTGAATAAATGTATTGGATTGTTCTACCATCATGATTATATGGTTGAGTGCTAAATTACAGCATCATTCCTCATATTCTTTTGAATGCTGTTTCAGAGTGTGGGATTTCTGATATTACTATGCTCACGCACGGCCGCTGTTTGGAAATCTGTTGTTCGTATTTGCTGAATTTCTGGAATTTGTGCCAAGTGAATCCCCCTGCAGACTAGCCAGCAGAAAATTAGTGCTGGGAGTTTTTAGCATGAATGTTAATATCTTAGCAAATTGTATTCAGAGTCATCACATTTTGAATTGACTCGTGGTCTAACATAATGCCACTTATAATAGGCGTCTGTAACTGGGCTTATGATTTTACTCTTAAATCTTTGTTCTACTGACTGTTTGATAGTTGGGAGTGAACAGATTTTTAAAATCTTAAAAGTGTTCTTCCCTATCCTTTTGCTTGAATGAATTTTTTAATCTCACTCTAAAAACCTGCATCTACATGTAAGATACCTGACTTGCTGGTCAGCAGCCTCATCTGTTGCCAAGTTCCAGAGTGCTGGTGCTCAGGGTTTTGTAGTGCAATCACTTAAACAATTGAACATCCACAGAAGAGAGGAGTCTTTAATCTTTCTCTTTTTTTTTTAAGCATGCCTGCAGTATGCAGCCTAGCTTTTTTATCACGTGAGTAGGTTTTGCTATCGCAAGGCATATCCATGTAGCTATCCATGTTACTGACACCATGCATGCTGTTAGAATTCCAGCAAAGACTTCAGGATTTACAGCTAATTCTCCTTAAAAGTATGTGGGGAGGGTTAGAAATCTGGGATTTTTTGTATCATTAACAGTTTTTGAAAACGATCTGTGAAATATGCCCAGTCCTAAAAATACTTTGTGCTGAATAACATCAGTGCAAGCCCACATGTGTACATTTGTGGAACTCAGTTCTTTCATATCCTTGAAAGATATTTATTAATTCTCATCTCGTTATTGATCCAATATTCTGTGAATTGATGTGGTGGAAAATAGCTGTGAGGTGCTCTGGTTGCCCAGTATGTGTCTCACTCTTCTGCTGCCATCTGTCCAATGAAATATTTTCATTACTTCGTAATTTTACTGTAGGTAAAATGAAAAAAAATTCTTTTGATTATTTCTCCTCTACGAAAGATTTTGTATCCAGCTGCAGACTCATTCAGAAGCTAGCTTAAACTGTATTGCTTTAGACAGCTGCAAGTTTTAAGCCTCAGTCTGTCAGACGCAGAGTACTGCTGGTGTGTAAAACGTAGAAGGATGAAATGGAGGTGAAGCTAACTGTGCGTGAAATTGTAGTAGCAGGAGAGATTGTCCATATTTTGCAGTAGCCGAAAATAGCTGCACTCCATCTGCAGCTTTCACTTATGCCATGTGATCATTTCAAGCTTAGCTATAAGCACATTCCATTAATTGTATATTATAATCTTAGACTTATCTCAGCAATATATGTGTGTCAAAATTCCAATCAATGTTAGGAATTAACTGTGTGATGAAGTCGGCCATCCATTAATCATCATAGTTGTGCTGTGTGGTATTGCAACAGCCCTCACAAATATTTCTAAATGGAGCTTTGAAATGTATTTTGCACACAAAGATGTGTTGTTCTATGGCATTTAAAATGTCTATTGTCAAGTATTTCTAATGGTTAATGCTGTGCAGTTTGCTGAATTAGATAACATCTGCTGTAAGCAAAACTTGACCTGGAAATTTGAAGTATTAAAATGTATGGCATATATGGCAAACTCTTATGGGTAACATCTTATGTGTCTACTACCTACGTGCAATGTTGTTTCTAGTGTATAAGCCTTCTGTAAAACAAGGTAAACGTATTGATACAAAGAGTCCATACACATTCTTTCAAAGTTCCTCAGAGATGGGTAATTGCCCCTGTACAGATTTCAGCAAAGGGGTCTGAAATTTAGACTTTTTTATCCTTCTTGTGC